TGTACTGTATCCCCCAACTTCCCTGTACTCTGCCCTCTTGCCCCCCCTGTACTCTGCCCTTCTTTCCCCACTGATCCCCCAGTACTCTGCCTTTCTGATGCCCTGTCTTCTGCTCTACTGAATTTTTTATATTGTTTGGATATTTGAGTTGATTAGCCTTTGACTTAGGACATGTTTTCTTATTGTTTAAAATCGATTTTATTTAAAGTACTGATGGATATATTTTTAATCCTATCAACTATTTCTAATCTAATTCTTAAGAGTAGGTACGTAACTTGGGGCAGGGTCATAGGGGCCCATGTACACTACTTTGCCCAGGGGCCCATGATGCTATTAGGATGTCCCTGCCCCCCCTCCCTTAACACAGCTCACAGGCACAGAGCTGAGGCTGTCAATATGCTGGAAGTCCCTCCCCTGTCACCATTTTCTCTTGGTGTCAGGAAAACTTGTCAGAAGTAACTCATGCTGATAGCATAGAATCGAAGCAGCAGACAGAAGTGACACTCAGTGCTCTTAATTGAGACAAATATACACTATAGAGGGATATGTTTTGTTCATATTTCATGTCTGAGTTTTACAACCACTTTAAGGGTTATGTCCACTTCACAGTCAGTGACGCTGCAGTGGGTGGAACCTGATGGGGAAGCTGAAATAGTTTCCCATCAATTTCACTCACTCCAGCAGGCAGTGGGTGGATTCTTTAGCCAATAAAAGGCTGTCTATCAGGGATGGACTGACCATTTGAGCACTCGGGCACTGCCCGAGGGCCCGGGCTCAGTAGGGGGCCCCATGAGATGCGTGCCTGGTACCTTTTATTTGCTTTTTCATAGGCTTTTTTGGGTTTGGGTGAGGACACAGGGGCCCCATGATCCCCTATTGCCCGGGGACCCCAGGAGTTGTCAGTCCGCCCCTGCTGTCTATTGATTGTGGATCTACACACTGCCTGCTGTCAATGACCCACTCAGCCTCAAAACATCTTGGCTGCTGCAATGAGGAGGGAGCTCAGCTGCAGTATAGTATAGAGTGCTTGGACAGACACTCCAGTCTTGGTGTGCCTCTACACATGGCGCTTTCCACAAATTCATATACCTGTTTCCACGTATGACATTCTTTACGAATTTCCATGCGTATCTGTCTTGCTCTAATTACACTACTTTATTCCCCAAAAACAATGGGTCAGCAAGTCAGCAGAGCTTTAATGCATTCATTAAACTAAGGGAAAAGTGCCATAAAAAAAGAGAATTTCCTTGAACAGTGAACAGATTGGTAAATCAGACCCATTGCATTGCTTGCTGCTACCTCAAAGTGTTGCTACCGTAAGCCAGAGGCTACTGGCATTTAGCATTTTAAAGATTTTTGTTGCTCACGATAGTCACTTTTACAAGAATCAGATACCATGGAAATTTTGGTCAAACCAGTAGTTGTAGTGAATTATTTGATATATTTATTTATTACAGGTATTTATACAGTGCACACAATTTACACAGCGCTTTACATACTGTACATTCAAGTTAGTCCTTGCCCTCAAGGAGCATACAATCCAAGGTCCCTATGTCACATGCATACATACACATACTAGGGCCAATTTAGACAGGATAACGACTAACCCATGCCAGCAGAGGGAAAACATGCACACTCTATGCAAAGAGTGTCTTGAATGGGATTTGAACCGGGAGTCCAAGTGCTGCATGACAGAAGTGCTAAAGAACTAATGGTGGAACACTGTTAAGCAGTAGTTAGCTATGATGTCTGGTAATCTAATGATAAATTCCCACCATACACAAAGTAAATTGTTGAATTAAATGCAGTTTTGGATACTTCAGGCAATGCTCCAGGGAAGTAAAAGGAAATGAGGAATTTAGATAAAAATTATTTCCACACGTAAGTGTACTTCTTATTCACTAGATTCTTAAAACATCCCCGAAACAGGCTGAGTATGGCACTTATTTTCTGGGTAGCCATAGCTGACCACAACTACCAGATCCAGGAGGCAAAAACAGGAGTTAGCAAATTGAGTGATTTCTTATTCCAGAGGGTAGAGTATATCTACTCACAGGTTGGTCATATGGTCATATAAGACTTCTTCCTAGAGTTTTCTCTCCTTATGTGCTCTTCTAATCCAAAAGGTACAGGTAGGATAAAGTATATCTAAAGCCAAAACTTATTTCTAGTTTGGAAAGAGTAGACAATGATTAGATTCCCTCTCAGATTTTGTTTCTAGCTGTGTCCTGCTGGGAAGATTATCTTTCCTGTCTCAAAGACACAACGAGAAATAAGAGGAAATCTCTCCAGAACTGGGGGCTCCTCTTACACAGTTAACACTCAAAATAGGTGTCTCTGTTAGAAGATTTCCCTTCACTTTCCCTGTTCTGGTGACAACCTTAAAATTGTAGTTTCCCATTGCTTCTTGTCCCAGTAACAAAAGATTTGTTCCAGCCCCCACTGTATCCTAAACTAAAAGGGAAAAGCTTTTGATTTAGATACACTTTAATAAGCTTCTGTCCATTTTAGATTAGATTTTATATATGTGTTTTTTAAAGACTGTAAAATTTACTAGGTCAAGCACTGTTGTCAATGAAACATATGCACCATACCTAGTGGTCCTGAATAATATATTACTCTATATAAATACATTTCTTATTAACTAACACACATTCCATAATCATTAGTTCCAACGTCTGTCCTATAATCAACAACACAGCTGTGGTATATATAGTCATGGCCGAAATTGTTGGCACCCTTGATATTTCTCCAGGAAATCATGTATTTCTCACGAAACGTATTGCATTAACACATGTTTTGCTATACACATGTTTATTCCCTTTGTGTGTATTGGACAAAACAAAAAAAGGGAGGAAAGAAAGCAAATTCGACATAATGTCACACAAACCTCCAAAAAATGGGCTGGACAAAAGTATTGGCACCCTTTCACAACTGCGGATAAATAAGAATGTTACAAGCATGTGATGCTCCTGTAAACTCACCTGGGGCAAGTAACAGGTGTGGGCAATATAGAAATCACACCTGAAAGCAGATAAAAAGGAGAGACGTTCACTTAACCTTTGCATTGTGTGTCTGTCTGTGCCACACTAAGCATGGACAACAGAAAGAGGAGACGAGAACTGTCTGAGGACCTGAGAACCAAAATTGTGGCAAAATATCAACAATCTCAAGGTTACAAGTCCATCTCCAGAGAACTAGATTTGCCTTTGTCCACAGTGCGCAACATTATCAAGAAGTTTGCAACCCATGGCACTGTAGCTAATCTCCCTGGTCGTGACGGGATGAGGAAAATTGATGAAAGATTGCAACGCAGAATAGTCCGGATGGTGGATAAGCAGCCCCAAACATGTTCCAAAGACATTCAAGCTGTCCTGCAGGCTCAGGGAGCATCAGTGTCAGCGCGAACTATCCGTCGACATTTAAATGAAATGAAATGCTATGGCAGGAGACCCAGGAGGACCCCACTGCTGACACAGAGACATAAAAAAGCAAGACTACAGTTTGCCAAAATGTACTTGAGTAAGCCAAAAGCCTTCTGGGAAAACGTCTTGTGGACAGATGAGACCAAGATAGAGCTTTTTCGGTAAAGCACATCATTCTACTGTTTACCGAAAACGGAATGAGGCCTACAAAGAACAAAACACAGTACCTACGGTAAAATATGGTGGAGGTTCAATGATGTTTTGGGGTTGTTTTGCTGCCTCTGGCACTGGGTGCCTTGACTGTGTGCAAGGCATCATGAAATCTGAGGATTACCAAAGGATTTTGGGTCGCACTGTAGGGCCCAGTGTCAGAAAGCTGGGTTTGCGTCCAAGATCCTGGGTCTTCCAGCAGGACAATGACCCCAAACATACGTCAAAAAGCACTCAGAAATGGATGGCAAAGAAGCGCTGGAGAGTTCTGAAGTGGCCAGCAATGAGCCCAGATCTAAATCCCATTGAACACCTGTGGAGAGATCTTAAAATTGCTGTTGGGAAAAGGTGTCCTTCCAATAAGAGAGACCTGGAGCTGTTTGCAAAGGAAGAGTGGTCCAAAATTCCGGGTGAGAGGTGTCAGAAGCTTATTGATGGTTATAGGAAGCGACTGATTTCAGTTATGTTTTCCAAAGGGTGTGCAACCAAATATTAAGTTAAGGGTGCCAATACTTTTGTCCAGCCCATTTTTGGGGTTTTGTGTGACATTATGTCATATTTGCTTTTCTGCCTCTGTTTTATATTTGTTCCAATACATACAAAGGGAATAAACATGTGTATAGCAAAACATGTGTTAATGCAATACCTTTTTTGTGTGAAATACTTGATTTTCAGGAAAAATATCAAGGGTGCCAACAATTTCGGCCATGACTGTAGCATACAATTGTCTGCTGGTACTTTGAAAATTTACAGCTTGACCAAGCATACCACACACGTAAATATGCACATTTAATAGATGTAAAACCCCTAAATAACATATTTACACTGCAAATTTTATTGTGTATTTGTTCTTGCAACAGTAAATATCACACGTACTGTCAAGGTACCTCAAATTTCACAACTAGTGATGAAATGGTTAAGTCATCAGTAAAATTATTGTGTGTATGGTAATATATAATAAAAGTAAACCCTTGAAAAAGGAAACCCATTGCGTTGTATTTTTTGCTTAAGTGCTGAAATGTTATGTTATTGAGTATTTTGTACAGTAAAATGCACTCTAATAGGTTTTACATTATGTGAATTATTTATCAGTGGGTTCACCAGTTGTTCCTTGGTCATATGACCAGTGTTTCTTCATGTGATGGAATGTTCTGGAGACTGTCAATAACATGGGTTCATGTCTGTCAACTTTATCATCCCTCTAAAGCATTTCTTCTCTACAAAAAATATTGTTATCTTAGAATTACTCAGGATAACATTGTATACTTACATAGTACTATTTCTGACTGACTGAGGGAATTTATAATATTTAACAAATGTAATACTGCACTATTTTTTTTAGACCCATCTTTATAGCCTATACTATTAACTATTACATGCACAGTCCCCATTCAATGGTTCTAATTTTACCCCGTTTTTCACTTCAAGGTCCATCGACTCAGCCCGACTTCCAACTCTCACAAGACCTTTTACAAGCTCACGTTGAGATTTAACCCGCTTTTGTATTTCTGCCACAGTTCCCTCCAGCAGCTTGGCTACAAAGCCCACTCCAAATACCCTAAATAAATCAGAAGCAGCAAAGGCATACAGTAGAGGGTTGACACATGCGCTGAAGAATGCTAACGCGGTGGCTCCAGCTCGGCTCTTTTTAGCTGCTTTTGCTAGAGTCTCGGACATATTTCCACTGGTGAGATTGGCAGTTACCTGAATAGCATTGACTACATGATATGGAAGCCATAGGATGGCAAAAGTCAACAAGATGACAGCAATCAGCTTCTCTATCCTTGACCGTTGTCCAAAGCGGCTTGATTTTAGTTTAATTAACACAAGCATATAGCTAAAACATACCACAGGAAAAGGAAGTAAGAAAGCCACCAATGTCTCAAAGGAGTAATGAAAGATGGCCTCTGCACGGTTGGCATGGCAAGGTTCACATATTGTAGCATTCATGTCTTTGTTTTCTATCACCTCTCTGAAAGCGAATGCTGGAAGTGCCAAAGCCCCTGCTAGAAGCCATATGACTATGAGGACCTTCACCACCATATCTCGTTTACGAAGAGACTGAGCCAGGTATGGTCGGAAAACTGCTACAAACCGGTCCATGCTCATAAGAGCAATAATAAAAATGCTGGCATACATGTTAAGGCAACAGAGGTAATATGCAATTTTACAGGCAGGTCTACCAAATATCCAGCTCTTCTTGGCCAAAAATATAATAAAAAATGGAGTGAGGAGAAGGACTGTCCCATCAGCCACTGCCAAGTTAAGGATTAGGATGCAGGTTACCGACTTTTCCCGGCCTTTCATTTTCCACAAAATGCTCCATATAATAAATGTATTCCCAGGTAAACCCAAAGTTGCTGCCAATCCCAGAAAAATTGCACCAGGGATGCGGGAAGCCGAGGAGCTGAGGATGGTGTCATTATTATAACTATTGATACAGCTGACCATTTTTGAAATAGATCCACCTAAATGGGATAGAAAATAAAGATAAATAAACAACTAAATAGAAGTGGACAAGGATTAAACAGCTGAAGAAACACATAACATATTTAATGTTTATTGTTTAAAAACATTAACGTGTATTCAGAGTTAAACACTTAAACCAAAAATGTAGCACATGTACCTGTGATATCAAAAAGATTAATAATTTTTGTCCTTTAGGTCCTATTTTCAGATAAATCATATTAGCAAAGTATACTGTATTAACATACACTTTGGGCTGGATTTACTAAAGATAAATAGACTATGCTCTTTGCAAGTGCATGTACTCCAGAATTTAGTAAATGAGGCGAAGCTTCACTTAGCAAAGAATACCAAATCATATGCAAGAAAAATGAAAAAAAAGAAAACAGCATTTTTGCTTGCACATGATTGGATGATGGAAGTCAGCAGAGCTCCCTTCGTTTACTAAGCTCTGGAGCAACTGAACGTACAGAGTGCTGAGTCTATGTGCCTTTAGTAAATCCACCCCCTCTTCTACTAGGGTTACAGTGCATATTTATTCAGCTGCAGTGAGCAATGCCATTGCACTAATTTAGGAATGTGGATTTACAGTCTTCGGTGCAATTTCATAACTGTAGCAATGCAGCATCATTTTGGAAATAAGGCAAAAGTGAGGGTGGAGATGTGTTCCAGACACAAAGATCCTTTTACTTCATGTGAAATTTAGTAACAGAGGTTACAATGAGGAAAAGCAAAACCTGCGTTTTCACATGGGGAAGGCAATGGACTATATTTTGGCAGAGGTAGCCATAAAACCCGGGACTGACAGTGATCTGAAGGGTAAAATGAAATATTATGCTAAGTCGTTTTAATAAAATTATCATAAATTCCTTTCCTATATAGATTATTGGGATGATTGTATAGCAAAAAAAGTTCCATAATTATCCAGTACAAAAGCTCTATCTCCTAACCACATACATTTTGTTTTAACAAAATTCAGCAGGAAGCTCTGTATTATGTATATCAATAGCTGTCTATCAATCTATCTTTTTAGCTATCTATCTATGTATCTATCCTTTCTTGCGGACAAAAACACACTTGGAAGATAAGCAGTCATTTGTAAAAGTGCAGCTTCCTATCTAGATAGGAATTTTCCATTTGAAGTTAATTACACGATGTAGTGTTAAATGGCAGTACTCAACCAGTGCTAAAGTCCACTGAACCACAGAAGGAATGAATGAATTAATGCAGTTAGCTTGGACCATTAATGAAGCAAACAGTAAGAGTGAACATAGTGGCTTCCGCTGTTTCCTTGGATATCAGAAAAATGTGCAGCTTGACTGGAATCTGCTTAAATGTTGTATTTGCTTAAAGGGATAGGCTTAAAATGATGGCAGACATAAATGACTTCTCAGTATCTGATAACCTATAATGTAACGTGTGTATGCCTACAGACAATGTCACTTAGTCTGTGTATGAGTGTTTACAATGCCTCTAACAGCACCACTATACAAATACAACATTAACCATACAAAAATTAGTTGTACAAAACATGAATAATAAACATATTTTGTCACAAAATTCACAATATTTCCACTGAAGCGGCACTACAGAATACCACAAAACCATATACAAAATATAACACGTGTAGCACCCTCTAGAGCATTAGTAAACTTTAATTGGTGCTAGAGTATTAGGAACATTTAATGGCAGTAATTGGAGTGAGAGAGCATATCTGAATGGAGGTCAAGTCCAGGTCAGACCAGATTAGGCTGGATGACTCAGCAGGTAGGCCCTCTATCACCTCTACCTGGTTCTGGAGATCCAGGGAAACTTCCAGAAGCCAGTGGGTAAAGATCTAGATCTACATAATCATGGGAGTCTGACCAATCCCAGGCCGGAGGTCCTGGTAGTGTAGTAGACTGCCCCTGGATTTAAGGAGCCATCCCAGCAGGGGTCAGGAGTTGGGTTGAAGATGGATTAATGAAGCTGCTGCTGTGTAGCCTGGGAGGGAAACCCAGCAAGGGGGGTTCTGCCTCCAGGCTGGAGGCTGCAGAAAAAGAAAGGAAGTGGACAGAGGCCTTACTGTCCACCAAGAAAGGACAGCCTGCAAGCGGAGACAGAAACTGGCTCAGTGAGAGGCCTGCATACAGGTTACTCAGAGCTATAGGATACAAGGACATTGTGAGTACCTCTACACCACGGGGCCCAACAAGAGAGAGGTCTGCAGGGTGCAATACCCAACCAGTTCTCCCTGGGACATTGCTGGATACCTGTCTTTGAATTTCTTTCTCCAGTATATTCTTCATAAGACAGTCAGGCATTTCCTAGCTGGGGTCTGAAGTGAGTTCACTTAGAGGGAACAGGTGCTCCTCACAGAGACTGTGCTTTTGATTCATTAAGTGACTGTGCCACTCTGGCTAGAGTAAAAAGCTCAGGATCTACTTTTTTGTACACAATCAGGAAGTTTGTCCGTAGAGTTATTACTGCAATTCATCTTGGGCATCCCATATATCCCTAACCTGATCCAAGTTGTTTATGCACTAAATAAAACAACAAAAACAAGCTCTTGGACTCGTTACTTTGAGTGGAAGTCTGAAGATGTGTGTTGCCTGGCTGTGCAGGATATAGGGGGCCTCAATACTAAGCGGCTTCTTCGGCAGTGAGTGCTACACATATGTATAACAATTTAAGCTCAGTGCAGTCCTTATTGGGTCTCTTAAATCAGACAACCACTGACATTGCATCTTATTTTTTGTGTGTTGAAATCAATGTCTGTCAACTTTAGAGGGTTCCACAGCAAGAAAACATGCTCTTCGTGATTCACCACCACCTAGTGGAAAGCACACTCACCAACTATGATGGACCTTAAAGCCTAAGTATGGCTAAAATAGAAAAATCAGTACAAGGAACAAAACAAATAACCAGTAGAATGTGTCCCTTGTGCTGATTCCTCCATTATTACTAGAAATCCTCCTCCGCCCATGCCCCCACCCACCCCTACAGCTGTAATCTTATGGTGCGGTGGGGGTTATTGCAACTGAGGGACTGTCACAGAGAGTCCGACTAGGCCTGCCTTTTCTGCCTAGTGACTCTCTTCATAGAAGCCATACTACAGTTTCTATGAATGAAACAGGATTTATGAATAGAGGGGATGAACCTTTCAATTATCTGCCTGTACTCCATTCATAGATCCTGTTTAATTCATAGAAACTATAGAACAGTATTGCTGGAAAGGTCTTTGTCACCTGGAATCAGGGGACCCAAACATCAGGGTTAAGCACTACATTTACATATAAGAAACCCAGAAAAAAAATTCTTTTGTATGCATATTAGGGTGTATAGAGTACAATGGAGAGGTACCACATTTGTAATGGGGGATTCAACCCTTACTTAGCAAATGTAGACTTCTACGCCCACCCTCGGGATGATTGGATGCATATTCACCCCCTACTGCTTTTCTGCTTTTGTAAGTCAATCCTCACAATATGAGCATAGGTTTGGATAATATATATATATATATCCCATATGGGTAATTTGATTGTGAATTTTGCTTATTTTTATGTTCTCTCATCCAGAATCTACACTGATGCCCCCTTCTCCTCCTGAGGAAGTGGATAATTCTACGAAACATCTTCCGGCCTTGGGAGGTTACGTACGCTGGCATCCTGGTGGATGAGGTCATTAACATGGCTGCTTCCATGTGAGGTTCCCATGCTGCTCAGAGTGTGGGCACAAGCAGTTCCTGATTATTAGGATCTTGTCAATCTATGAAGTTGTGTCAATTGATCATGGCAATTGGAGGATGAGCAGAGAGGATAATACCCATTTATGATTGATTTCCTTTCCATTTGTATCCACTTAATAAGCGATTTGAGCCTTGCTTCCACTCTAAGAAGAGCTACCTCAGTGCTCAGTGTTACTACTCCCATCCATCCATCCCTTATATCAATCTGGCACCTTTATCCTACAGCTACAGAGCTTGGACTCAAACAAGCGCGCCCTATATAATATACATTTTCTAATAAGCGATTTTAGCCACCCATTAGAATGGGAGGCATGGCTATCTGGTGAATGCACATACAAAAGGGGAACTCTATTTTATTGCACGTGTTGATATTTTGGGAATTGGAAGATTCATTTGGTGGAAAAGACTTTTATGGACTTTCAGTTTTTTCACATTTTATTGATCACTAATTTGTCGATTTCTATGCACATATATATTTTATTGCGCTGCTGAATCACTTAGTTCGTTTTGTTGAACAGTTCTGCGAAACATGTCTAGGATACTCTAGACTAGCAGGACTTTCCCCAAATATTATTTACATTTTAATTTTGGTTTTGTGATTTATTTTATATAACTGTTTGTTTATCTATTGGAGGTTCTTCCTGCTACAATGGTGGGTCATATTTTCTGTTTTTAACCACTAGCCTACAGGGCACTTATACCCCCGTCTTGCCCAGGCCAATTTCCAGCTTTCAGCGCTGTCACACTTTGAATGACAATTGCGCGGTCATGCAACACTGTACCCATATGAAATTTCTATCATTTTTTTGAGACAGATAGAGCTTTCTTTTAGTGGTATTTAATCACCTCTGGGGTTTTTATTTTTTCTTAAACAAACCAAAAACCACTGAAAATTTGGAAAAAAAAAAGTTTTTTCTTAGTTTTTGTTATACAATTTTGTAACTAAGTGATTTTTCTCCTTCACTGATGTTTTCTAATGAGGCTGCAGTGATGGGCACTGATAGGCTGCACTGATGGACACTGATGAGGAGGCACTGGTAGGTTACACTGATGGGCATTGACAGCCATCACTGATGGGCACTGAAAGGCAGCACTGATACATGACACTGATATATGGCACTGATAGGCAGCACTGACTGGCACTGATAGACGGCACTGATAGGTGGCACTGATTGGCAGCACTGATAGGTGGCACTGATTGGCATTGATAGGTGGCACTGGCTGGCACTGATGGGTGACATTGAAAGACAGCTCAGATGGGCACTGATATGTGGCATTGATGTGCACTGGTATGCATTGATATGTGACATTGATGTGGCACTGATGGGCACTGGCACGTGGCACTGATGGGCACTGGCATGTGGCACTGATGAGCACTGACAGGTGGCATTTCTGGGGCCACACTGATCATTAGGGCACACTGATCATCAGTGCCCTGATAATCAGTGTACATGTCCCCTCCGTGGAAAGCCGATTACTAGCTCTCTCCTCTCCTCTCGAGCTGTCAGGAGAGAAATGCCGATAACTGGCATTTCCGTGTTTACATGTGATCAGCTGTGATTGGACACAGCTGATCACATGACTGATCACATGACCGAGCCGACATCTTCATCTCTTTCCGTGATCTGCTGTGTCCGAGGGACACAGCGCACCGGCGATCACCACGCTTTGCGCTCCCTGAGCCACGCATGCGCAGTAAGAATGGTAGGACGTCATATGACGTCCTATCAGAAAGAGAGAACCACCTTGCGCCCGTCATTGTACTATAGGGCGGGCGGAAGGTGGTTAAAATCACATATATGATAAGTTTTATATAAAATAATTGTAATAAAGGTTTGTCAGTTTATTTTGACAATTGTGAAGTCTATGGGGGACCGATAAAGTCCATATTTTTCCACATTTTCTTCTAATTTACAATGTATACAAAGGATTTTGCTACCCTGTCTTCTTGACGAGTTCCTGTGGGTCTTGTTATTACACTATATTTCCTGTACAGAGTCCCAGGAGGTATATTTCTCACAAAAAGTGACATCTGAGGCAGAACAATTCTCATTAGAGTTTAAATCAACTCTCTTCAGCAATACTTTCATTTATACAAAGCCTTTCTTCCACTTATAACAATAATATAGAAAACATATGTGCTTTTTAATTGTTTAAAATAGATAAAATGATACATGGATAGATCAAATTGATGTAAAAAAATGATCTACAGGTGAAACTCGAAAAATTAGAATATCGTGCAAAAGTTCATTTATTTCAGTAATGCAACTTAAAAGGTGAAACTAATATATGAGATAGACTCATTAAATGCAAAGCAAGATAGTTCAAGCCGTGATTTGTCATAATTGTGATGATTATGGCTTACAGCTCATGAAAACCCCAAATCCACAATCTCAGAAAATTAGAATATTACATGCAATCAATAAAACAAGGATTGTACATAGAACAATATCGGACCTCTGAAAAGTATAGGCATGCATATGTACTCACTACTTGGTTTGGGCCCCTTTTGCAGCAATTACTGCCTCAATGCAGTGTGGCATGGAAGCTATCAGCCTGTGGCACTGCTGAGGTGTTATGGAAGACCAGGATGCTTCAATAGCAGCCTTCAGTTCTTCTGCATTGTTAGGTCTCATGTCTCTCATCTTTCTCTTGGCAATACTCCATAGATTCTCTATGGGGTTCAGGTCAGGCGAGTTTGCTGGCCAATCAAGCACAGTAATTCCACGGTCATTGAACCAGGTTTTGGTGCTTTTGGCAGTGTGGGCAGGTGCCAAGTCCTGCTGGAAAATGAAGTCAGCATCCCCATAAAGCTCATCTGTAGAAGGAAGCATGAAGTGCTCCAAAATCTCCTGGTAGAAGGCTGCGTTGACCCTGGACTTAATGAAGCAGAGTGGACCAACACCAGCAGATGACATGGCTCCCCAAATCAACACAGACTGTGGAAACTTCACACTGGACTTCCAGCATCTTGCAGTGTATTCCTCTCCATTCTTCCTCCATACTCTGGGTCCTTGGTTTCCAAATGAGATGCAAAAGTGGCTGTCATCAGAAAAGAGGACTTTGGACCACTGAGCAACAGACCAGGTCTGTTTTTCTTTAGCCCAGGTAAGACACTTCTGACGTTGTTTGTTGTTCAGGAACGGCTTGACAAGATCCGTCTGTGTGTGGTGGCTCTTGATGCACTGACTCCAGCCTCAATCCACTCCTTGTGAAAGTCCCCAACACTTTTGAATGGCCTTTTCGTGACAATCCTCTCCAGGCTGCGGTCATCCCTGATGCTTGTGCACCTTTTTTCTTCAACACTTTTCCCTTCCACATAACTTTCTATTAATGTGCTTTGATACAGCACTTTGGGAACATCCAACATCTTTTGCAATTACCTTTTGAGGCTTTCCCTCCCTGAGAGACCATTTAAAGGCTCAGGAACCCTTTGCAGGTGTTATGGCTTAATTAGCTGATTAGAGTTGGACACTTTGAGCCTAGAATATTGCACCTTTTCACAATATTCTAATTTTCTGAGATTGTGGATTTGGGGTTTTCATGAGCTGTAAGCCATAATCATCACAATTATGACAAATCACGGCTTGAACTATCTTGCTTTGCATGTAATGAGTCTATCTCATATATTAGTTTCACCTTTTAAGTTGCATTACTGAAATAAATGAACTTTTGCACAATATTCTAATTTTTCGAGTTTCACCTGTATGTGTTGTTTTAAAATACCCTTTTCTATGTAAAATAAATGTAACATCCTGCTATTATTCAGACTGCAGAATATTAAAAGAGACACAAGGTGGCAGTGCCCAGCAACTGGCACACACTCTGGTGAAAAGCTCTATTTATTCTGAAGGCTGAAATGCAGGGCTTTGCTGGAAGGCAGCTAATTAGAAGAATTTTTTTGCCAGGGGAGCTGGCATGTGGGCGGAGGCATATATAAGTAGAAACCCGGGAACTCGGGACAGGAGATGAGCTGGAAAAGTGTTGAAAGAGAAGGCTGTGTGGAATGCCGGAGGACCAGACCAGGCCGCAGAGTGAGAGAGTGGAGAAAAAGTGAGGAATAGCTGATTGCTGACATCGCCAAATAGTCTAAAGTACTTCACTGTCAGCAGGTGACCCAGAGTGCTGCTGTCATGAACGAACTCTGCAGGAGGAACCGCAGGACCGCTGGGGGCCCCCATCTACAAAGAGACCACAAGTGACTCGAATGATGCCACAGATAGGGTGAGAGATTCCAATTCTCCAGCCAATTAAGTTGTCACTGACATTCTCTTAAATCAGCCATTCTCTATCTAGTTAATTACATTTTTCACAAGTTACGTATTAGTAAACACATCTTCAGCATATTTCAGTTATCAGAGCCTACTGCAGTGTCCACCCTCTGTGAGACAAGCCACACCACTGCTTCTCTTAAATTTTGCCCACATTCATCAAGGGACACTTTCCATTGTTGCCATTTGCTACGGTGGCCTAGAGAGGGATCAACCTTTACCAACAAGTGCTACTTCCCACTCCTCAAACCTCCTGTTTAAAATATTCAACTCATCTTGTGTATTAAAGAGGTACTGCCCATGTTGATTGTTGGTTAAAGGAGTAGTGCCTGTTCTTGCATTATTCCTTTAAAGAACTTCCACCTATTGCATCCAAGGAGACCTGAATTCTTGTAGTGCACCAACTTGGGCCCCAATGAGCGTGCAGAAGATCTTACACTGCAATCAAATGGACATTCATTTCCTGTTTTAAAGAGCTCTTTCTTCATAATTGAATCTGGCCACTAGCTTCTGAGGGCCCAATGTAAGCTAGGCTAACTCTTTGATAATTTTTTTTCTGCTCACTGGGGAAGGAGACATCTCAGAGCTGAGGTCTTTTGGGTCAAATTCTGAATTGCAGGACATCTAAAACTGAAATAGATTTTTGCTGTCTGTATTGACTTTTGCTTAATAATTACTAAGAGTGATACCTGTTCTCATTTGCACACCTATTACTCTATGTTGCTATACTGTGCTCACATTCAATTCAAATATAAACAAAACAGCAGTTCACTCTAAACTGTGCGTGAGTCTATTTTCCGGTAATATTCAGAGGGTTTTTTCTGTCCAGAGATGTATGGTGTGTCAGAAGAGCTTGGGCTTTCAGAGTGGGGTCAAGAGCGAAACAGAAACTGAAAATAATTCAGTGACTCCGAAGGAGGTAGTGCTACATAAATGTACATTGGGTGGCCAGATTGCGCATTACATATTCAGTCTCTGTTTCCTGGTTGTAATATGCTGATCTGTTTATTTTTTACTAAATGTGCCTACCAAACAGGGTACGGCTGATTAAAAACAATAGATCCTTTACAGTTTCTAATGGATTCAATAATCACAGTGTTCTGGTAGACAAAAAACATATGATCTGAAAATATAGGCACTTCTAGTGTCAAAAGTTCTCACGTGTTCTAATATCTCATGTGAACCATTATAGCTAATGATAGGCACACAGAAGTGGACCAGTATTTAGAAGTAAAGAATTGCTTTCTTAAACAGAATATCTTGCATCTCCTGGTTCTGTATCTTCATAGTTATATATCTGCAGTGTGAGATCATCTAAGTCACATCCCACCCACTACTTCCTCTGATGACTGCTATTCTCACATGACTTGGAATTAGGGTTGCCATCTTTTCTTCAAGCAAAACCTAAACACTTTAGCTTTGTACAGCGATTTTATTTTTTAAAGGGTGAACACTGTGGTGTAAAGGGGAACTTACCAAAGCACAAACCTCCCCCTTACATCAGAGTTTGCAGAGCACCCCTTACATCTGAGTCCCTCTAATCTTAGTGTGCTCACTTGCTTGGAAGCAGGAGAGAGAAAGGGGGTGGAGGGGACTTCAGTCACAGACAGTCGGGGGTGAGCTCACTCACCCGAGGATGGGGGCTCAGGGACCGTCACCTTTCATTCATGATGTATGTGCGCAGTCAGTCTATGTTATGCTATGGTGGAAGCAGCAGCTGTACGAACACCACGACAGGTCATAATTTGACAGGTGTGTCGATGTAGGTTTATGGCCCTGAACACAGACAGAGTGCATTCAGAGCCACTCACCCACACCTTTCAAATTAGGACCTGTGGCTGTGTTCGTACACATGCTGTGTCCAGTTAGAGTAACAAGCAGCTCCAGCCACATGAACAATCCATTCATTCACACTGCCAGAGTAACTGTGAATGAGTCCTTAGGGCTCATTCACACATAAGGATGGAAGGTGGTAAAACACCGTGACTGAGCTGCACTTTTACCACCCACCAACTGCTACACCCTTTAGCAACTGAGGCAGTTGCTAGGGGTGTACATAGGCCATGGCTGCAATACTATGCTTCGCAGCTACAACAGAAATTTATATTTCTGTTGAAAAAGACTCATTCAATTGAATTGTGCTGCTCTGCAAGTGCCCTGCAACTGTGTGTGGTGTGCTAGTTCAGAGTTAAAGCAGGAAGAGAGGAGGCAATATACCTCCTCACTGCCTGTCAGATGTTCTCTAAAGAATTATGCAAATACTGACTGCTCTTCAGAGAGCAAAGCACATGTGAACAAGCCCTTAATTTTTATTTTTTTAGA